CCAGAAAGCCCCTCTATTAGCCATCTGAGGAGTGACCTGTGAAAGTATCCCTAGGCTGTAATGTAAATACTGCCTTTTCTCTGAAAAGACAGTAATTGCTGCAAAAAGCCTGCAGGGACTGATTATACTTACCAGAACAAATATAATAAGGTGTAGTTGTTCTGGTGACTATAGTGTCCCTTTAAGTCTGCAAACCAGCACCACCAATATGTTTAGGTAAAAAGAGTTGATTATGGCGTACTCTTATATCCTAGGCCCTTCCAAATAAATAGCAGAGATCAAATGTGACATAAAGGAAGAATTAATAGTTGTTGCGATGGTTTGAAAAAAAGAATACGGTGTAATAGATTCATTTTTATTGCATTTAATCTACCAAACCATTCAATAAATGTACTTGACCAGCAGTACATATAGAACCAACACCTGAGAGAGAGGGCAAACAGGAGGGCAGACAACCTTTGCGAGTGTCGTTAGTGATTTGTTAAGCTTCTGATAGAGCTTCATTTACACCAACCTTGGCATGAGGATAGCATATAGAGCAGCAATCCATGTTCGGATATTTAGATCAAAACCCATATAATTTAAGGTAACACATTGAAACTTCAGTCTATCTAGTCAATAGACTTCTCAGCATTTGTAGAGACAAGAAGGAAAGGCCTCCAAATATTATGTGCTAAGTGCACGACATTAAGTACCTGAATAGTGTTGCCGCCCTCTCACTGACTAGTATAAAATCCACTTGACCAGGTGTAACAGATCTGGTAGAACCCAACTAATGCCTATCTAGTAGTACCCAACTAATGTGGGTATAAAACCCACTTGATTAGGTGTAAAATATGTGGTGGGACCTAACTTATGCATATCTGGTAGAACCCAACAATGTGTAGGGCCAATGCTTTAAAAATGTTCAACTCGGCATTAAGTAGGTAAATTGGGGGCTAACTGGAGCATAAACTAGGATTGTTACTCTCCTTATACAACATGGAGATATGGGCTGTGAGAGTGTCTCTATAAAAAAAATCCTCATAGAAGATTGAATTTATACCCATTGTTAATTTTGGTAAAAGAATGTCTCCGAATATTTTATAATAGCTTAAAGGAAGACCATCAGTCCAATGAATTTTGTTCAGTACAGTAGGTTTCAGTGCACATTTGAGCTCCTCTACAGTAATTGACTTTTACATTGGTAACTCAGGCAACAATGTCCAGAGTGTATTAAAGGAAACATAGTCAGTCATGCGAGTTTTAAAGAAGAGCTATGGTTATACAGAGATGCATAATAGTGCAATTTTGACAAAATAAAACCAGGAAGGGAAGTAGATTCCCCTTGACCTATTTTAATATTGTGATTTTTGGGTACAGGCTACCCTACCACACTTGTTTGAGTGTTCATAGAAATTGTTGAGGTTTTTAAAATAGCCATTCCTTACATCAAAGTGGGACAAGAACCATAGGGAACTATGAGGGTATACCTGCAGGTAGCTTGGATGTCGCCACCAAGGTTCCTTTTCCCCCTTGTGATTATAGCCTGAGTAAAAATAGCTCAGAGACTATAGCAAATATTGCTTTTCCACCCAAACACTAGCTGAGACTTAGTAAAGGTTTAAGAAGAACTGCTTTATTGCGACAAGTCACTAGGAAAGCAATATATGTTGTACAACACCTAGGTGTCTGTACCTGACTAGGTAATATTATTAACGGCCAGACACCTTGGCACCTAGTAACATTATTACATAAAAACTGGGGTTCCCGTGCCCACATCCCCAAACCAATTCCTTCCCCGGAAAGCTCTCTTCCGAGCCTCCATTCTGCCCAAAAAGCACTCAGACTGGAGTTGTCGAGCCTGAATTACCTGGCTTGATGTCCAGTTTTGACCATCCTCTGATTCATAGTTCCAAAGTGCTGGGTGGGAAGTCCCATTCACCGAAAATGATGGCATTTTCCTCCGGTAGAAGGAGCTCCCTCAAGTTCGTTATGTCATTCGATGCCTCACCACCTCCTTTATCATCCCTCCAAATTGCGCCTTGTTTGGTGACTCTGGAACAAAGAGCCACCACAACAAAATTTTACTGGACCGTGGCAATTCCTAGATCCAAGTAGGAGTTCCAGAGAGTTTGTAGGCTGCTACCGGTCAGGTGCACCGTGCCTCTATGAGTTTACTGCCAGTCTGTAATGATTCCTGGCTTGCTGGAAAGGGGTGCTGGGCTGGGAGGCAGGGGTTGGAGGGATAAATGTAGTGGCTATAGTCCTTTTTAGAAGGAGATGGTGGATGGGAACTATGTACCAGTCCTGTGTGACTGTTTTTCTCTGAAACTGCTATGCATCTGCAGGGTTAAAACCTGAGGGACCTGGCATCCAGACCACTTCATTGAGCTGAAGTGTTCTGGGTGACTATAGTGTCCTTTTAAACAAAACGAACGGAATAGCTATAACCCATATATGTATGTCTCCTGGGGGTTATATTGTGATAACTGCAGCATTTTGCCCTTTATAAACACACACACAAAAAAACTAAGTTCCAGAGAAGCTGAATATATATAAAAACACTTCTCTGGTAGTGGATACGTGTTAAAAGACCACTATAGTGCCAGGAAAACACACTCGTTTTCCTGGCACTATAGTGCCCTGAGGGTGCCCCCACCCTCAGGGACCCCCTCCCGCCCGGCTCTGGAAAGGGGAAAGGGGTTAAAACTTACCTTTTTCCAGCGCTGGACGGAGAGCTCTCCTCCTCCGATCCTCCTATTCTCCTCCCCGTCGGTTGAATGCGCACGCGCGGCAAGAGCTGCGCGCGCATTCAGCCGGTCACATAGGAAAGCATTCATAATGCTTTCCTATGGAGGCTGGCGTGCTCTCACTGTGAAAATCACAGTGAGAAGCACGCAAGCGCCTCTAGCGGCTGTCAATGAGACAGCCACTAGAGGATTTGGAGGAAGGCTTAAGCCATTGATAAACATAGCAGTTTCTCTGAAACTGCTATGTTTATAAAAAAAATGGGTTAACCCTAGAAGGACCTGGCACCCAGACCACTTCATTAAGCTGAAGTGGTCTGGGTGCCTAGAGTGGTCCTTTAAGGTCAAAGTTAGGTGTCCAAGGTATCTGCCAAAATATGTATACAGGAACAGGCAAATAGGTCATGGCAGGCAGAACAGTGTCAAAGTCAAGGACAAAATCAGAGGGTCAAATAACAACCAATCTAGAGCAACCCTAGTGGCTTCACATACATAGGAACATGTATAGGGACACATTTATAATGGGAAAGGCTGCTGAATCTGAAAAGGAATACTTATTTTATAACGCTTCTAACAGGCTACTATTTACCCATAATTTTGGCCTCTTAATAATAGGTCGCTTTATTAGTTTTAACACAGTTTTACTGTGTGTTTATCATGATAATGAAACTGACAATAGCAGGAGACCCAAAGCAGAGAGGGAGTGCCATAACCAGGCACTGTGATGCATCTCTTCCTATTGTATGTCTAATTACATATTTTTGTAACTATAACCCTGCAATTGTCCATAATTACTAGTCTCCTGACTGCATCCTGGGTAAGGTCGCTATAGAAGAAATGTTAAATAAAAACCCGTCATTGACAAGTAACTCTGGGACTGGTGTTCGAACAGTCTCAGTCGGTGGGTAAAAATGATGTAATGATTGGGAATATCAAACAAGAGATCTAGCTGTAGATGTGAGCTCAGCAGTGGATGTATAGGACACAGTATAGGAAATCTTCAGCACTCCATATGTTGTGGACTACATCTCCCCTGATGCTTAGCCAGCATTATGGTTGTAAGGGAATTATGGGAGATGTAGTCCACCAAAGATTGCCCACCCTTGTATAGGCCATGGGGGCTCTAGGGCACACAAATAAAGCAGAGTGAGCAGTGGGTGCAGAGGTTAAAACACTGTGAGTTATAGGGCAGGGTCATAGATTTGGAAGTTATACCTGACCAGAGCGAAAACCATACAAATATGTTTTTACTATCAGGGTATTCACTAAACTGAGAATTCTCATGAATTTAAACAGAATTTTAAATGAAAGGCCAAAATAGCTGAATTGGTCTGGAACACTTCTCCAAGGCAGGTAATATTCAGTTCGGCCACATTGGCCTTATATTTTAAATGAACACTATAGGGTCAGGAACACAAATATATATTCCTGACCATATAGTGTTTAAAACACCATCTATCCCCTCCTTGCCCTCCTCTACCCAGACTGATAGAAAGCTGTTCAGTTCTATCACTGAACATTTCCTGTCAGACTGGGTAGAGAATAAAGATTCTCTACAACGGTGCGTTACGTTCGGCCACGCTACATGAAGTGACCGTCAGGAGATGGAGCACTGTGCGCTCTCCACCTGCCGACCTCTCCACTTTCTCATTCACAGACACACACATTGCCTAAGGCACAGACACCCTTCCCAATACACAGATATACTGCCTAATACACAGAAACACACTGACTAATGCACAGACACACTGCCTAATACACAGACATATGGTACAGAATCTAACACCCTTGTATAAAAAGTGGAATAACACAATGTGAAAACAAACCACTAGAAGAAGGTTTACCTAAAGTTATAGTCTCCCAAAACTGTAGAAGGATATAACAGGACCCCTCCAGGTCCTCAATAGTATAAAAACACAGAAAATATCTACAATGGAAGAAAATAAAAACTCAGAGTAGTATAGTAAATACACTCACAAGATTATAAATGATTATAGGCGCATCACATAGTGTAAGATGACTGAAAACCCACAGACACAATAAAAGGGCATGTAGGAGAGTGAAAAAATAAACAATAAGTGTAGACCGAATAAAAAGGACTTTGCACTTTAATAGGTTACACTTACAAAATTGTAGTGGTATCAAGGCACATCAAGTCTCAGAAGATGTAGTCACTGGCTGGATTCCAAGAAAACACTTCCACACGACTGGCTAAAATTTGGACAATTTATTATTCCAAACAAAATAAATAAATAAATAAATAACAAACAACTCTCTACTGCAGCTCAACCCTACACGTTTCGTCTGTCTATTGCCTGGACTTCTTCGGGGGTTCAGTAGTCATCTGATATCCCGTGCATATGATCTGGGTCCTGGGTATCACTCACTTTCATTTCTATCGGTCTTCATTATTGCCACTGTTTTCTCCAGCCTGTCAACGATGGGTAGTACAGCTGTCTTCCATACAAATGTGAGTGTGTTCCAGGCCTCGTTCTCGTATGACACTTTTGCGTCTCCTCGTTCACGTGACGTATATGCGTTTTCAGATATTGTATTAAGGAATTCTTATCAAGTACTATTTTTATGGAACCTTCTGACTTTATTTATTTTATCTGTATATATTCTATTTGAAAATCAGAAGATAGTAGCACTTATCCACTTTAAAGAGGACAATTGTAAACCATAGAGTATTCTTGATTGTATAATATTGTGATATTTTTTACTATTATTCTGATATGTTTATGTTCCTTTAAATCTCCTTAAATATTTTTTTTGAGTTATATTTGGGACTTGTAGATGACTTTGAAAATTCTCGGCACACAGCGCTGGCAATGAAACGCAATTGCTGTGTCCGACATACCTACAATGGAACGCATATACATCACGTGAATGGAGAGCCGCATGGAAGACAGCTGTACTAACACACACACACACACACTGTCTAATGCACATACACCCTGCCTAATAAACAGATACACTGCCTAATACATACAGACACTGTGCCTAATACAGATACACACACTGCCTAATACACACACACACACACACACGGTCTAATACATAGACACACTGCACACACATACAAAGCAAGCAGCCCTCCCTTACATCCACAGGTGGGGGTTGGAGGCACTCAAAGCAGCCCATTATAATCAGTAGCCTTTCTAGGTGCAGGGCAGGGGTGGCAGCTCATGAAAGCTGTGCCTTTGCGGTACCCTGTTATTCAGCAGTTGTGCCCAGATGCCTGGCGGACGGTAGATGAGCAGTGTAAAATACCGCCCCTGTCAAAGTGCCTCCAGGCGCCATGGACGGGCCGGCCCTGCCTCTACCAGTCCTTCTCTTATCTTTGGGGACTTTAATATCCCAATCAACAACCCATACAGCTCTGATGACTCGTAATTGCTCTCTGTAACCTCCTCCTCTGTAACCTCTAACTCGGCAAAAAAGGGAAATACTCTTGATCTCATCTTCACCAATCTGTACTGCCTCTAATCTCTCCAATGTTCAATTTCCTATATATGACCACCATTTGCTGACCATTGACATCAACATACTCCGTACCCAAATGATACCACCCCCGATATATCAATCAGTCTATCTCGCACAAACCTCCAGTGTCTCGACCTACAGCGATTCTCCATCAACCGCCAAACTCTCCTTTTACCTATCTCAAACCTCACCTGCCCTAACTCTGCAACCTCTCCTCTGAACCAGCTATCATGGCACATCTTGCATTTAAACATGATAAGCGACACAGGTACAACCTTCTCACTGCAATTAATCGGATACCTAAAAAAAGGTTCCAGATCTGCTGAACACGAATGCTGCTGGAGAACGTCTCATTCTGCATCTGACTTTCACCACGCTCGAAAAGTGTGTCTCTTTCCTCTGCAAAAGAAAACTACATCAATCACATTTTTTCTCTTTTTTTGTTGCTGCGTCTCCTCCAACTAACTTGACCTCTACAAACTTTGCAACTCTCTGCGATCTCTCTCCTACTTCCCATAATCCCACTCTCTCCTGTAGGCTCTGCTTCATTCCTCCCACCCCACCACCTCAATCCCACTCCCTCACATCTCATTTGCTCCATTAGACTCTCACTTAGTCTCCGTTCCTATAAAAAAATTATTGAAAACTAACCTTTTTAGCATTCCCTCCTGTACCTTGGTAACGCACCATGCATCCTTTCCTGCAACCGTGCCATCAAAAAAAAAAAGGAACAAAAAACTATGCCTTTCTTATAAATTATTCTAGCAACCTGCTTTTTCTGCACATGAAATACATCCTACACTTACCCATACCTCCTGAGAACCGGCATGCCAGTGGAAGGGGGGAAAAGGGGGCGGGCCAGTTAGATGATTGTGTCACTAGCTTTGCCCAAGTTTATGGCAGTCAGCCTGGTGTCCATCACTCAGGCCAGCCCACTGAGGGGAAAACATGCAGGGAGCACTGAAACCGTGCTCCCTGCAGAGTCCTAGTGCCCTGGACACAGCTCAAGCCCGTCTAATGATGCGCTCATGCTATGATTGTTGGGGGCAGTTTGTGGAAACTAAGGCACACAAGTCATGATAAAGACATGAAAATTAGGACTATCCCGCCGATATCGGGCACAATTGGGAGGAATGCTTACGTCTTGTGCCGATTTACCCATTTCCCCTAAAGTGTAAGCTCCTTTGAGCAGGGCCCTCAACACCCTCTGTTCCTGTGTCTCCAACTCGTCTGGTTACAAATATTTGTCTGTTAGAGTGCACATTGTACAGCGCTGCGGAATTTGTTGGCGCTATATAAATAATAATAATAATAATAATTCAGGGTGGGGTGACAGGTCACAGCTCTATGAAGGCACACACAGTGACTGGCAGGGCTGGCTCCCAGCTCTATAAGGGCACACACACACACACAGTGACTGGCAGGGCTGGCTCCCAGCTCTATGAAGGCACACACACACACACACACAGTGACTGGCAGGGCTGGCTCCCAGCTCTATGAGAGACACACACACA